TTAAGGAACCTGGTCTGGTGGGAGGTGTTCCTGCCCATGGCAGTGGGTTTTGGGACTAGATGATCTGTAAGGTCCATTCTGTTAACATTCTATGACTCTGTGATTATCCCTGCATGGCTGGGTCTTACCCAGATGCAGAACAGCAGTGCTGCTGAGACCTACCAGCCAGACATCACATGGCCACATGCCTGACTAGTGGCTGGGCATGAGGAATAGCTTATCACCCAGAAACCTGCCCATTAACAACCACTCCCCTCACTTTCCCAGCAGGGACTGTCACACCCAAGCTCTCCAGCAAAATTGCCCCATGGGTGCTTCCTCACCTGATTCAGGGGTAAAATGCTCAATGAGCTAAAGCTGCTTAAAGCTGCTGCCCTGCAGGCACACACCAAGCAGCTCCTGACAGCATGGGCCAGAGCAGCTGTGGTGGCTGCACCAACTGGGTGGAGGAGAGTGACTTTTCCACTAGCACCATTAGGGCTGAGTGCGAACAGTGGCTGGATTCTGAATGGAGGCTCTGGACGGTGTGCTTTTTTATTTGACCAGCTCAACCTTCTGCACCTGCTCTGCTGAACAGCCTGATCCTGCTTCAGTGCTTTAGCCAGTGCATCAAAATCCATCATCTTACTGACATCGGTTAGAACTAGGTGAGTTATAGAGCATTTTAGTGATTCAGGCTAACAACAGGATCAAATGATTTGTGAAACTGGACATTTGTACTGTGAAATAGTACTTTTTTTGATGCAGTGTCTTGTTAGTCTGCATGGCCTTTAAGGATGTTAGAGATTGGACAGCTTGTTGCCAATAGCACAGACCATCCAGATTTGAGCTGCAGTGTAGCTTGTCAGGCTAACATAAAAAGCTGCTCTGCCTTTCTGTGTGGAAAAAAAAAAACCAAACCCAAAAAGCACTATGAATAGTTCCTGCTGCAATGCCAAGAATCATATACCAAGCAAGAGAAGAAACTTACTCAAGGGAGTCTGCAAACCATTTTAACTAGGAATCAAATAGGGTGTTTTTCTTAATGGAGTGCTAAGCTACATTAGCAAAAGTGACGTGACTTCACCAACGTGTAAGTGCATATAAAAACCTAATGTAACAATGTTTTCAGAGCAGGGAAAAAGACATTTCTAAAGCTGTGTTGGAAATGTTAAATAGAATACATTTGTAGCACTTCATTTGTAACATTTTTCGTCTTATTTCTTATATATATATATAGTCTTACAACCAGCTGACACAGAAAAACACAGAACAGCCCTAAGGATATCTACACATACACTTTCACTACAAGATTCCCGGGGAACTGGGGTGTTAAATTTGCAGGCTGCCAAAGTGGTCCACCCCACTTACAACCTTCAGCTGGAGGAGTTGCTTTAGAGCAAACAACCTGTTCCCAGCCACCACCTTTCAAGGGGAGGGAGGGGAGGATGAGGTTCATCAGCTGCCCTGAGAGCAACAAGGTAATGGAAACCTAGGGATACATCCTGCACTTGCAGATACATGCCCCAAAGCCCAGTATTTGGAGTACTTGGGGACTGCAGGGCTGCAGCAGGCGCAGCAGCCAGCTGCTCTGCTCAGGAAATAGGCTGCACCTGGGATGGGGCAACCCTGCATGCACATTCAGACTAGGGAATAAGGTGCTGGAGAGCAGCACTGTGGAAAGGGACCTATGGGTCTTGTCAATGGCAAGTTGAATACGAGCCAGCAGTGCCCTGGCAGCTGGGAGGGACATCTGTGTCCTGGGGGACATCGAGCACAGCACTGCTGGTCAAGGGTGGAGATCGTCCTGCTCTGCTCTGCACTGGTGCAGCCTCACCTTGAATATATATGGATATTAAGCTGTTAGAGTGTCCAAAGGAGGCAATGAAGATGCTGAAAGGCCTTGAGGGGAAGCCATGTGAGGAGCAGCTGAAGTCACTTGGTTTGTTCAGCCTGGAGGAGACTGAGGACAGATCTCTTCACTGCACACAACTTCCTCCCAAGGAGCAGTGCAGGGGCAGCAATGATCTCTGTGCTCCGTGACCAGTGACAGGACCCAAGGGAATGGCCTGAAGTTGTGTCAGGGGAGAGTTAGATACTAGGAAAAGTTCTTCCCCTAGAGGGTGTTTGGGCACTGGAACAGCTCCAAGGGCAGTGCTCACAGCACCAAGCCTGACAGAGCTCAAGGAGCATTTGGACAATGTTCATGGTGTGATCCTTGCAGATATCCTGTGCAGGGTCAAGAGTTGGACTTGATGATCCTCATGGGCCTCTTCCAGTTCTGAGTATTCTGTGATAATGATATCACAGCCCCACCACTGCTGCCTGGCCAGAAGGGCTGACCCCTTTTTTTTAATCCAACCACCCACCAGCTCTGGCAATGGAGGAAAACCCAATCATGGCAGCAAGTTTTCACTTTATGGCTGAGGTGGGCAGCAAGGGCTTCCTTCACACAAAGTAGGTCCAGGACTGAACTCACTTCACTGTTACAGGTATCTGCTTTAAGGAAATGAATCACACACAGATCCCATCATTCTCCCCCAAAGCCAGAAGTGCTTTGGCTACTTCAGATGCAGATAATGAGTTACTGAAACTAATCCCACCCTGGACATCATTAACCTCCCAGCCTCACAACTCAGGCATACAAATTTTGCTGTCACACAGCTCACATTCAATAAGATTAGAAAATGTGTGCTTCCCCATTTCCCGCCTTCCCAAAAGCAGTTGTGTTGAAACAAGGAATAGTACTGAAGAGGTGGGATTAAAATTTAAAATCTGATCTCATGGATATGCTAAGCTGTTGTCCTAGTAGTCAGCAGTTTTTCTTTTTCTTTATGGGCAAGATAAACCTTTTTACAAGGAAAAACATCTGAAAAACACAACATAACTTCCACAAAAAAACTCCACCAAAACTCCACTAAAAATCCAAAATTTTAGTCTTGGAACAATGACCCTTTTTACAAAGAGATTTGAAGGGTTGAGTGTACATATTCACAAAAGCAACAAACTAAGGCATATTCTCCATAGCAATGTTTATACTTGAAAAACTCTGAAAAGCCATGTGACTCCATTGCATTTAAATCTTGTCAAGGTACAGGCAGTAAAAACTTTAAACCTTTGAGTTACTTCTCCACGTAGTCATCTGTCAGTTTATATGGTTATCAAGAGTACGATCTAGATTAATTCCAAATCACCGCAACAAATACTCTGGTAAGATCCTGAAGCTTAAACATTAAAGTGCTTGTTAGAAACCAAACATTTCAGTTATAATTAAGAAATGTTAAAGATCTTACATTCCTTACATATCAAGTCTGAAAGTACAGTATGTACACAATCTTTGTTAGGAACTGCAGTGATAGGACAAGGGGTAATGGGTTCAGATTGAAGGAGGGGAAGTTTAGGTTAGATACTAAAAAAAAGTTTTTTACTCTGAGGGTGGTGAGACACTGGCACAGGTTGCCCAGGGAAGTGGTGGCTGCCCCGACCCTGGCAGTGTTCAAGACCAGGCTGGATGAGGCCTTGAGCAACCTGATCTAGTGAGGAGGTGTCCCTGCCCAGGGCAGGGGGTTGGGAGTAGATGATCTGTAAGGTCCATTCCAACCCTTAAATTCTATAATTCTATGATCTACAGTCTTGTTTTTATAAATAGGAAATAATTTATCAGTGTATCTCCAACAGGACTTGTATCTGAAGGGAAGCTGAAAGACACTGATTTGGCCAGAAAAAAGAAGCAAAAACCCAGAACAGTCATCCCATGCATAGAACTATCAGAATTATGCATCCCAAGTGCTGCCACTTTGGCCAATCTCCTTGACTAATTCTCTTTACATTCATTCATGAAGCACTTGCCAGTACATTGCCAATAAAGAACTACAGCATCTCTCTTGCAACAGAATTCCTTGGGTCTCTAGGACTGGCAAGGCTGCTGTTAAAGAGAAAACACAATTAAACAGGAGAAATACACCCTTCAATGTATCACAGTTTGCAGAGAGAACTCTGAACCAGATAGAATGCCATACAACAAAAATTTTGGACATTCATTTCATTGTTTCAAAGTAGTTCTTACTAAAAAGTAAGACAAAACTAATTCAGAGGCATCTGTGACAAATTTTAAAGCCTACATGAGCTTTCTTATAAAGCCCTAACTGGTTCCTTTTGATCCAGAGACACAGTATGTTTGCTAGTCAGGTCTCTTGCCCCGACAACAACAAAACTTCTCCATCCCACTACGAGTCTTGTGTGATTTTGACTTAACAGTTTTGCAGCATGTGGTATTACCCTGTGCACAGGTTAAGCCTGTTCCACACAGGACTAACACGAGGTACCAGTGAAATGTCAGCATTGTGCATCATTGTAATCCCCATAGAGCACACGGTTTTCAACAATCCCCTTCGAAGTACAGCATGACAAGGTTTCAAAAAATACAAACAACCTCAAAACACAAAGCCCAAGAGTGTTCATTAAAGCACAATCGAAAAATAATTACCTTCCTCTCATTGCTTTTCAGTTCTCAGCTGCCACTAATGGCAACATTTTGCCTTTTCAGGTTCTGCAACTGGACTTTGTAATTTTCAGACAGATAAAAAGTTATCCTCACTCACATAGAGTAACAAGATTACAAGTAAAATCAAAAGCCACAAAATAAAATAACAGTGAACATTCCATAAGCAGAGTTTAAACTTTTGGTCAACATTTCTGCTAGGCTAAAGGCAAAAGTATGCTGTACAAATATCACTTCAGCATCTGCAGGAATAAGCCTTGTTTAGCTCAGCCTCAGTTTAGTGGGTGGTCAAGCCTGAACTATGCAACTTCTTAAAAGAACAGGTAGATAGAAGATTGTAAAGCTATGATTTCTTCTCTACTTGCACCCATTAGCAGATTCTTCCCTTGCAAAACAACATTCACGTGAAAAAAAAATGTACTGTGGCGCTTGACGGAAGGCAAACACACACACGTGTGTGTGTGTGTGTGTGTGTGTATGTGTGTGTGTGTGACTGTGGGTGGGTGGACAACGAGAGGTGTCAAGGTGACAAACGACTCAATGGGCTGGTTTCTTCTCCACCTGCAGCAAGCTTGAGTGTTGTCAGTTTACGAGGAGGGTGCTGAGGGCTCTTACGAAGGTTGTCGTCCATCTGCAGAGAAACAATGAGAGCCGGATCTGGCAAACAGCAGAGTATAGATCATACAGTTAGTCTGATTTGTCAGGGATGACAACATTAATGATGGTTTGGGGGTCGGTTTACCCTGTTTATTTCAGCACCAGGAAAAAGCAGTGCTTTGGTTTGTTTCTACTCACAAATATATGCTTATGTTGGAGGTGCTGTTCATCCTGTTACATGTGGTGCATCAAACCCAGGGCAAATGGTTTTTGCTCAAGGCATTTTGTCAAGGGTACTGAGGGAAGCAACAGTGCTACCTGCTTCTAAGAGGTCCAATTTTGTACAAGAATCAAACTGCTAACATCTATGGATGCTTCTGTACGTTCAGCACCACGCAGGAACTAACCTTTTCAAACCAGAAACATTCTGGAGGCTCTGGGTGAATCTGTATTAGTTACTTAATAAAGAACTTGTAATAAGATATTTTCAAAGATAGGTTAAAATTAATCCCTGAATATAAACAATTTACATTTTCATGGGAAATCAATCTATGCACTATATGTAATGTGGTATCAAAAATAGCTAACCCAGAATAAAGAGAATCACAGAAGAGAGCACAGGGGAGATCTGTAGGGCTGTCCAGCCCACCTCAAGGCAGGATCAGCTTTGCCTCAATCACACCTGACAAACCTCCATGTAACCCATTGTTTAAAACTTTCACACTTCAGTGCCAGAAAGAGGAGATACAATCAACACCTAATGATACAGAAGCTGATAACAGTTAATGATCTGTTTCACACACTGATGTTTTTCAGGAAGAAATACCTTCTATCTCTAGTTAAAGTGTTCTGTCTGCATGAAAAGATTAATTTCTCTCAAGTATTTTTCACACAAGTTGTATAGCTTTTGATAGGTGCTGAGTGACAGCCTTAGAAACAAAGAACATAAGAAATAAAAGCTAGATGAAGAACAAGCAGGAGAAAGAGTGCCTGTAGGTTAGTTTCTATAGCATTTAGCTGGGAGCAGGGAAAGCTGGTAATCAGTCTTAATTTTCAGGGCCATTTCTGGGTTTTGATCAATACATTTGCCTCCTCCTTTGCTGAATGAACACTTGTGGAAAGATACCATTCCTTTGCTGGTATGCACACCTGCAAGACACAATGTTCTTTAGGCTGTATTAAAAATGCTTTTTTAAGTACAAGGCTTCACTAATTATTCCTTCCAAATGGTGTAATATCCTTCCTGCCTCTCTACACAACGTAAGTCACTAGAAAAGAAGTAATTAACAGCCCACTGTACAGTTGCAGTTGCCATGCAAGAGTATCTGTGAACAAGTAACCACAAGGAAGCAGGAAAATGAGAGACTGAAGCAAAAGTAACCTTTTCAATCAAGTTGGATTCCTTATTTACAAGCTGTGTGAGTTTCTGCAGATTAGCATCTGCTGAATCCTGTCCAGCCGGAGGGTGGCCTGGAGAGTGAAGGCAGAAAGATGAAGAGTGAAAAGGTATTTACCAAAGCTTTTAAATCCTTAAAAAATAAACCCATGTTGGAGAGAAAGTTCATGCAGTGTATTTATGCAAAGAAAAATTTAAGTGGAAAAGCCATTCCGTGTGAAAAAAACAGAGTATTGTGTATGAGCCTGAAGATTTTCCCAATGCTAGGGAGAATCTGAGTATCAACCTTTGCTTTTAATCTTCAGTCCTTTCTGCCCAACTTTAGAAGTTTCTCCACCTCATTTTCCCCACAGAAACTGTAGCATAAAATACAAAAAGTCTAATCTGCCTTGGTTCACAGGTGGAATCCTGGAGTACTAATCCCAACATGACAAAAAGGGGAAAAGAAACATAGCTCACCTGAGACAGTTAACCTGAAGTAGCAAGTTAAAATAACATCACAGAATCGACAGAGATTGGGAAGCTGCTTCAAATGCTCTTGTAACTGTACTCTGGGGAAGCACACTTTATAAATTGGTGCAAGGAAACCAAACACAAAGGCATCCAAGGTGGTAGGCCTAGAAAGAGTGACAAAAGAAAACACCAGGGTGACTGAGGTAAGACATTCAAGACTTCTACAGCCTAAGTGCTTTCTGTGTACTTCAAACACAACTCAGGACAGAACACAGTCAGCTCTTCTGTCATTCCATCTCTGCCTATCAACCTGGTAAATGCTTTGTACTGACTATCTACTGATTCTCCAAAGTAGAGACATGCTGGCAAGATGGAACAGTAACTTCAGCATTAAAACACAGTCATGTACACTAAGAAAACACACTTCTGGCACCACAAAAGTCAAGCTGTGTGCCCTGGGACTAGGATCCTCTCTCACAGAGTCGTCCAGCTTCAGTAGCTAAAGGAACAGATCATTCCCTTTTGGGCCAGTTGGCACTATCTTCTTTCTGCTCTGTGCACATACCACAGGAAGAGGAATGTTCCCAGACCTACACTCTCCTCCCAGGAGGGCAGTAGTAACACCTCAGGCCTAACACATTTCTGCTACATACAAAGACAGGAGGTGACATTCAGTGGCTAGAAAAGTGTTTTCTAGTGCACCTCACATTTTCTTAGCAGCTGTGGGCAGCATCTGCCTCTCTGTGGGAAAGTGCTGGGTGAGGAAGACACCACATTGCCTCAGTCTGAAGACATAGTCTGTGCCCTGTGTGCTCACTCAGACTTACCTGAAAACCAAAGTGGGAGACATGAAACTACTACATGCAGGACTTTTAACATTCTGGCAAAACACACAAGTTCACAGAGTTGTGTGGTACCTGTTTTATTAGTTATTTACTACAACCATCAACAACAACAACAAAAATCACACTCACGTATCTCCAAAGAAAAACTGAGATGTTCCCAATCTCTTCGACAGGAGATTTAGGCACTCCTTGGCATCTCTGTATATCTGATGAGACACAAGACTGTCTAAGAGCCTTGGGTGTAGCAAGGCTGGTGTGGACAGCACCACTTATCATCTGACAGTGTGCTGGACTCCTTCAGTTCTTGTCTTTGACAGAACCAAGTTATGAGGTCTTTACTACACAATACACACCTGAGCTTCCACTTCAGTGAGGCTGTAAAGTGGAGGACCTCCCTTCATCATCAAGATCCTGTTCAGGGCTTCCCTGGACATCTTTCCAGGCAGATACAAGCTCAGTGGGAAGGCAATCCTTGAGGCAAACCATGGCTTGGTCACACTGCAGTAATTTTCAGCCTCAACCCAGAAAGTGTGCAGCTGTACCAACACAAGGAGAAATATAACTGAAGTCTGAGTGAGAATAGCAGGCTTCTTGTAAAATTTGATGTGTGGGACCTCTGTCAGAGAAGCAGAAGCACCAGGAATTATTGTCATTTAAGGCAGGAATTATTGGAATTTAAGGCAATCAGAATCCATAAAGGAATATACTAAGCCTTTGAGTGCAGGAGTATATAATTAAGGCAACAACTACCTTCCAAATAAAGAAAAACACCAAAGATATTCATAGACCTGTATGCATCTGCATAGAATTATGTACATACTATGTATATATATACATGCACACTGCACATTGAAAACATGTACAAAAGTAAGTCGCAGGCACAAAGGATTGGGTTTGAGTTTCTATACTTTTTTCAAATTTTATATAAACCTTAAAATTAAAGACACTATGAAATGATGAGTTTGGAACCAGGACCAGCAGGAGAGGGTAGCTTGTGATACCAACAGGCTCCCCAGGGCAGTGGTCACAGCCCCAAGCCTGACAGAGCTCAAGAAGCATTTGGACAATGCTCTCAGCACATGGTGTGATACTTGGGGCTGTTCTGTGCAGAGCCAGGAGCTAGACTCTCTCTGATCATCCTTATGAGTCCTTTCCAGCTCTGAATATTCTGTGATCTGGCAGGAATATTCTTTCCTGTACAACCTGAAGCCAAAGTCATTCAAGAGATTCAATGTCTGTGGTTTTAAAGCTCTAATGTACTTACCCTGAGTTGGTGAGGGCATGTATTATCTAGAACTGAAAAGTGAAACTACTGAGCAGTTCAAAAGGCTTTCAGCAGTGTATCTCACATCAGACATACCACACCTTAAACAAAGCTTTTTCAAAAGAACCAAATGAAAGAAAATCAGCCACAAAGAGGTGTTTTCAGGACACTGTTCCACAAAGACTGAAAGAAAAAACACTCCTAAGTGTTTTTAAAATGTCTTCAAGGTGCCTTTTAAAATGTCTGTCATAAATTTACTCTTATTACTTGACACCCCACAAACACACACTTCGTTCCTTTTCAAAAGCTGCTAGGCAGTATTTCCAAAACCTAACAAAGCAAAAACATTCCAGCCAGGACTATGGCTGAGAGACTTCAATGTCTCTCACCCTGGGCACCTCTTGCAGCTTTCACTTCCAGATATTCTGACCATTATAAAGTATTAATCAATATTTACCAGTGCAGGAAGCAGTTTCTCTTCAAGTAGTGCAACGTATGCGAGTGTATCAGCTCCTTGTTTGGCAGACAATTCATAATCAGCATTGTATTTCTAGCAATTAAAGAAAACAACAACACAAAGCCATAAAACAGTCTTACACAAAACATTCAGAAGAGATGATCTGTGCAAAGTTACTACAAACCTAACAGCTATCAAGTCAGTAAATATAAAACCACTTTTTGGGACAGAAAGCATGCACTCACTAGAATTTCTCCCCTATGTCAAACCCCATTGCATCTCCCTTTCCCACTTTCCCATCCTGGGATCTCTGGACCCTCCTATTCCCAAAATAAATCTTGTGCCTCCTTCCCATTTGTTACCAAGCAAATCTCCAGTGATACAGAGGCAATTTTTCAGTACTTAGAGACGTGCAAACCTCTGGCAAGTCCCTGTCTTTATTTTTGAAGCAGCATCTGGCACTTCAGCTGGTGTAAGCATTAAAAAAAAAAGGCAAGTGTTCCCATATTTTGCTTTGAATTAACATTCTGAAAGTTAAGAAATTGGATGCCAACAATGTAAGGGACCAAAAGCACAGCTTAATTAATGCAGTTGCAGCTGACTGAGCTTTTCATTCTAACACTGGATTCTTTTAAGATAGATTAAGAGTGGTTGATACATTTTGGGAAAGTGAGTAGATTTGCTTTATTAATTTACAAACAAAGGGTCAGTGCTGACCCTTAGATATCTGAAAAGCAAGAATGTGATTGTTGTACTTTAACTCAAAGAGGGTTTTTTCCCCCTCATTACATAACCCTTGGTATTCAAATGGCTATGAAACTTCTGAATTTCAAAACAACTGTCTAAAATCCCATCCCAAATGCAGCTTTCAGATTCTGTTTTGCTCCCCCCAAAGATTTAAAGTTTCAATTTCATGGCATTATTCATCAGACCAGGCAGGAACTGCATTTCTAATGTAGAAGGAGAACAGTGGGCTGAAGGACCATCTCAGAAATAAAAAGATGATGTCATGGTTTATTAGACATCTTTATACTTGGTGAAAAGAAGAAATCACATGGCTTCATTCTTTGTGAATAAAACATTAAGAGATCTGCAAAAGGCAAGCAAAGGGCAATAACCTGATGTGCACCAAGAAATGCCTGCAGATATTTTTGATCTACAAGCTACAGAAAAACTACATAGATTAACAACAGGACTGTATGTATCACCCTGCAAAGAAAGACCACTGGGAAACGAACACCCATTCAAGCAGTTAAACCTGAACTGTGATATCCTAGGTCTGCAAAGCCACAGTGACATTAAAAGTTTTATAGTTACAAGCAGGTTGCTCAGTAAGAAACTGCTCAGTTAAGGGCAGTTTGTTATGCTTTTCAGTGAATATTTTTTTGTGTGTGTCCTGTTTTTAAAATCTTTAACAGGACTAACAATCAAACCTTCCAACAGTAATTTCTCACCCATCACTTTGCAATGTGTGGAAAGGCACTGGGTCTGAACTGAGCCCCAGGTTTTCTGGAGCCTGTACCAGTGTATGCAGGACACCTGCAGAGTCACCACAAGGCAGGGAAAACAAATCTCTTTGAAAGAGACCTACCTGCTTCCTTAAAAAGTTTAGTATTTTTGCTGGCTGAGAAATAACAATGTCTTCTGATACCAAGACTGGTATATCTCCTAGAAGGCATAAATAATACAGTCAGGAATTTATATGGATGAGTTCTTACATAGTTAGAAGGCAATCAGTCACTTTGTGCACTTTCCTTTTCTCAACAGCATGCTCTGATCTCCCTAATGTGTGCACATAAAGTTTTATAGAGCAGGGCAGTTCCACCAAGGTCACAAATACATTTAGGGTACTGTGGCCTTTACTAATGACATTAAAAAGGGCAACAACAAATCAGACTGAAACCAAAGTCTTCTGCTAAGGATCCAACAGACTATTTGTCTGGATTCCAGATACTCATCTTAAGGCAAAAATCCCAGCTCAGCCCAGCTGCCCTCTCAATTCATTCACCTCTGGGCCTCTTCTTTCTACTCCAATCTTTCCCTGCCCTTCCCCACCAAACTCATTTTAACCACCTGTTTTCTCTAGCCTTGCTACAATCTCTGCGTAGCTATGAATTATTCAATAACTAAGTGTCTCCCTTCTGCCAGAAGTTATGCTGGACAGCCTTTGTCATGAGATTGGAGATCAAAGCCTGTAGAGTAACAAGTCTCTGTAAGAGGGGCTATCCTACAGCACATTCACAATGTGACTGCCACAACCAGCCCAACAGGGCAGCATTGCTAAATACTACTGAACTATCAGTTATCAGCAACACTTACTGCTTGGAGTGATTTTTTTTAATGGATTTTATGTATTTTCACTATGAAGAAAGCCACCAAACTTTTGGCAAGTACACATAACTAGTTCTAGGTATCTTCTCCTAACAGAACACAACACACTGAGAAGCAAGAATCAAAGGCTCAACTTCTGCATGAACACAGAGGTGCCTGAACTGATGATCTGGTTAAGCATAAATAGCAGAAGACTTTAACCCTGTAGTGATTTTACCTCTCTGAAATACAAGAGAATAACTTCAATGCTGAGCAAACAAAGAAGCAGAAACATCCAACACAAAGAAGTCCTCTCTGACACCTTATCTTCACCCTTCCTGAGTCAACCTCTGGAATTCAGCACAGTACTAAACATCCCAGCTGGGCTATGTTATAGTGGTTGAGGCTCACATTCCACTTCCAACTGTACCAGCCTGTTAAATTACCTATCATTAAAGAGCTATTTCCATAATCAAGCCTAGCCACGATCATTATAAATATGCAAAGAGGTTAAGAATTTGATTTCACTATGTCATCACTGCCTAACAGAAACAGTTACACTTGGCACCACTGCTTTGTGGACCTTCTGCTGCCTCACCCATACCCATTTTAACCAACTGTCCTTCGAGGCACTTTATCTCTTCCCTTATTCCATTCCCACAAATTCATCACTCTAGATCCCATGAGAGTCACTGAACTGGGACAGGCTGAACTCAGAACCACAAACCCACTGCAGAAAGTGGAACCTGCACTTGTAACACAGATAAAAACTGTGGAGATGTTACCTTTAGGAGCTCTCCAAGAGATATTTATAGTATTCACTGTCAGGGGAGCACCGGAAA